AGAGACAGTTTCAGATGTGTTTTAGCTACAGTGAGAGTGCAGGAGCTGAAGGACATGCACTGCCCTCAGAGCAAGCTGTAGCTGATCACGACAGCTTGACATTTTAGCAGCATTGAAAAAGCAGCACAGGACCTCTATCCTGCATAGGAAAATTGCTTTTAAATCCACTGCAAGCAATAGTCTGCTAAATGTAGCTGAAATAGTTGCAACATTTGCCTCCCCAGCTAAGGTAGGAATGGCTGGATTGTGGAATGACACCTGCCTAAAAGTAAAAAAAAGCCCAACTTGCCCAACTCTTCTCCAATGATATGAAATATGCTTTCTTTGAATAGGGGTTTGTTTCAAAAGAGAACTGTAGAGACTAGAAAATAGTAACATTTGATTAAAATTATTTACTGAGATCTGACAAGCTTAGTGTGCATAATATTAAAGTTAGAGATTACATGGAATATAAAAACAAACAGATATCACAGGAAAGAAACTTTAGTTTTCGAGTGTCTTGGCAGGAGAATTAAAAGACTCCAATAAATTTGAGGGGGTTTAATGAAAATCTTTTGTGACAGAAGCTGTGTTGAATAGGACCTGCTGATCTGGGAAACCTTCAGTTTATTTTATTTTCTGGTATATGTACCAGCTTTGAACTGAACTCTTGGAGTTGTAGCTCCTGAAACATGGCAGTGTTTCTGGAATACCAGACTGTGCTCCTAAAGCTTCTGTAACAAATGCAGGGTGTTTCAGGCGTCTGCACTAAACCTTTAAAACAAATAACTTCAAGTAAGGAAAATCAAAATTTATCAAAATGATAAATATAAATATAAGTCTTAAACCAGCTGTAAAAAGCACCTTTCTCAGAATTCATGGATTTAAAAAACTCTCAAGATAATTTTGTACAGTTGCCCTTCCTGCATTTGGCAACAATTTCTAAAAATAATTTCTCAATTCTCATTCCCCTTTTCATTCTTACATCTGACACTTGGTGCCTCTTCAGAGCTCCATTGACTTCAGTGAGGCATGAAATTGAGAAAAAATTGCAGTGAAGTCTGCTCAAAACAGAATTGCAACAGTTTGTGCCAAGCCATAGGGAGACCAAACTTTCAGTAGTCAAAAGAAATTCTCTACAAGTGAAAATAGAAAAAACTTGACCTGACAAAGCTTTTGAAAGTTTGAATATTTATAGTTAAGTAGGTAAAGTGAACAGTATTCTGCTTTCTTCCATCTGTTTGACACTGTAGGGTAAAAATATCTAATGTCAACCATAGTAAAGTATCATGAGGCAACTGAATGAAAAATACAAAATTTTTATAAGTCAAAAGAGCTACCACCCCTTTACCATAACTGGAAAACACAGGTTTTGGAGTTTTGTTTGGATTTTTTTCTCTCTCAACCTGTACTTCCCTAAGAGACAGAACAAACAAAACTGAAATGGTGAATAACAAAACTGTAGGCAGAGGAAATAATCTACTAATCTAAGTTTAGCAATGCTAATATAAAGATTTTGAAGAGTACTACTTGCATGGGTAGGGCAATTGACCTCAATGGGTCAAATTCAATAAAGTGCTTCATTGAGTGAGTAAGAATTGCAAAACAGAGCCACTTGTTAGATTAAAAAATTGGGTATTTTGCAATGCCACTTTTTTTTTTTTTTTTCCCTAACTGAGTAGCATTACGAGTTCTCATCTCGGCCTGCACAAATCTCCTGCTTCTGGAAGCACTGAAAAATTAAATTATAAGAATAATAAGCAATAACTTTTAACTTTTGTGTGAAATCACTTCATAAGTTCCTGTTCAGGGACTGATATTTCAACATTAAACATAGATTAAAGCTATGTCTGTTTTGTTCGGTTTTATTAGTAATAATAATAATGAGATTTGTCTACCTGGTTAAGTATCATTTATCTTAATGTTCCAGATGTTTGTGGTGGAGAATGACGTGTGTGAATCAATGTGGTGATGACACAGAGGAGGAACAGATGGCACAGAGCTGCCCCTGCTCCATCCATCGTGTCCAGTGGAAACAATGAAAATACAACACTTGTTCTTGGAAAATTACAGAGCTCGGCAAATTAATCAGCCTGACTGGCAGAGGTCTTGGAAAAGGAAGCTGAAATCTTCCTTGCACAGCTCTAGAGATTACATGGCTCTGGATCACTTTGCTGCTGAAAGAAATCAGTAGAGAAATGTCCCACAAAAGAGATTTTGCCTCTACCTAGTGCTTGTAAAGAGTTTTTTTTTTTTTATCCTATGGCTTGGCTGAGTAATTCTATTGGCATCACTGGGTCTAGCTATCTAAGTTTTTAACTTAAGGAGTAAGAAATTGCAGGTTCAACTTTATGAGAAATTTAGAGATAAGAGTGTAGTAATGGCATCAGCCTTGCAATTGCAAGAAGATAGAGCAGAAGGCATACTGGGCTCTCTTGCACTTCATGCTGGATTTTTGCAGCAGGCTCTTAGTTGCTATATGGTTATTCTTTCTGTCTTGGTGTGATTTTTTTTGAATTTATGTTGGTTTTGTCTGATTATGCCATTTTAGTCAGATTTATTTTATTTTTGTATCAGAAGATAAGGACAGAACTGTATCAATTGTGCAATTTAAGAAGCCTTAATCCTTGAAAGGAGATAAAGGTCACAAGTGCTTCAAGTGTCCTCAGGTTAGGAACAGATTCCTAACTGGCTTTATGTATCATGTATCAATCAGATATTTGTATCAGACAGAAAATCCCAACAATTTCCTGATGCTATGAATACTCAAAGCTTGCTGACACCCAGACGCAGTGAGAAAACTGGTTCTGGTAATATTGCCTAAGAAACCAAGCTGACAGCAACTTTAAATGCTTAAGGTTTTCAAGCATTGTCTTGTCATCTTGCTGTGCCCCATGAAGAAAAGGAGGTGCAGAGCTGTGCCAGCCCCAGGGCCCTGCAGGGGCTGCGTGGAGCTGCCAGGCACAGAGCAGCCCTGCGTGTTGTGCCATGCCCTGCCCTGTTACAACACTGGTTGTGTGAGTCCACCTGTGCCATGGGTCTGAGTTGATCTAGATTATTCTCTGACCAATATCAAACTATTTTGTGTATCCTTCAAGTTGTGCAAGGGCACTTGAGGGGATCTTTCAGTATTGGTGTGCAGTTTTACTTCCAGGTGTAGTGGTATATCCCTACGTGGCATTCCACATATGTACTGCTAGATAGGGTGTAAAGAAGCAAACACAGATGGGGGGTTCTTCCATATAGGGATTTAGGGAAATTTAGTCTCTAGCTGGTGCTAGTGAAATGTGGATGACTCAAAAGACACCCTGACCAGCTGATGGCTGGTACTTGCTCTTGCTTTGTTGTTGTGGTGTCTCCCTATTTTTTTCTTCTACATATCCAAAGCAGGAATTGCCTCCAACATCCATGTGTCCATATACATCAAATATAAGTCATCAATGGTACACAGAATTTATGAGATGGATTTCTATTGTAAGGGAAATGATTGTGAGAACAAAAAAGGTCTTTTTACTGTGTACTCCATTACCGTCATGCTCTGCTGCCAATTTAAACACTACTAGAATCTTGGATTTTAACGGAGGAATAGATTTTGGTTCCTAGTTTCTTCAGCTCTTGTTTGACATCGGTGTTTGTCCACTCAAAACAAACATAAAGCTACCTGGTGTCTTTGTTTAGACCCATGTTGTTCCATGTAGTATGTAAATGGGAGTCTGTAATTAACAGAAATTATCAAGGTCTTGCCATTAGATTGCAAGACCATTTCGCAACACTGCTGGAAGTAACTGTACTCTGGGATGAGCAAGAATACTATTAAATCCTTCTGGTTTATGACATGACAGTTTTCTGGGATGAGCTCTCATGCCTTCTTGCAACATTTTTTTTTTTTATTAGTAGGTAATGCAGTACTGCTATTATAAATGGGAACACTGTGAATCCAGTATTGTTATTTTAAATGGGGACATTGTGACCACTAAAATGACACTACATGTCTGACTGGACCAAAAGTCCAATAGAATATTTTGTCCCTGTTTCTTGAGTGCATCAGCAGCGTTCAGCCTTTTAACCTGTTCTAAGTAACAATGGAATTTTTACCAGAAAAGTGATTTTCTTCAAACACTGAGGACTACTTAGAGCCCTATCCCTCTCTGTTCTCACTGCCCTGTTGTTAAACCTTGGCTAAATAAACTGCATATATTTTACTTCACTTTTGCACCACGCTCCTCAGCAGTTTGTCTCAGAGCATTTAAAATGGACTTAAACACTTTTCTCCTGATTTCAGTGTGAGTTAGCAAAAATGCAATGGTGTTAACAGGATGATGACAAAGCAAGGAATAAAACCTAGAACATGGGGATTCATAACTTAGAACCTGGGAATTCATTGATGGTTTTCCTGCACATTATAGTAACTGTAGTCACATATTGGAAATTTTGCTAGCATTTTTGTAGAACGTGGTGTGTGGTCTGCTGGGATTCTTAGAAATTCACCATCTTCTTGTCAAAGTATGAAGAGTGTCCAGTACCCAAGCCACTAAAGAGAAGTGCACATACAATCTTAGTAGGATTGGTGTCCCCTGCAGTTGAATACACGCAGTTCTTGTACCATCAGCACAGCAGATGATTTCCTCCCACTTCCCAGAATGATAAAAATAGGGTATTGCTAGTGGTGGTTTTGGTGTTGCAAAGCAGACAATTACTGAGTCCTTTCTCCAGTGTCCAGGCAGCACAGATCCTCATGCATTTAAATAAGAGATTTAGGTGCAGGTAACAGGTAACATGATAGATATATATGCAGAAGCCTGAGTAAAAAATGAGATGGCTTTGAGTAAGATAGAGTTCTGAAGGGCACAATGATTTTGGGGATTTTTTTTTGTTCCTCATTTGATTTGGGTTTTTTGGCTTTTTTACTGCTTATTTTTTGGTTTGGGTTGGGTTTTTGTGGGATTTTTTGTTTGTTTGTTTAGGTTTTGGGGGAGCTTGGGGAGGTTTCTTGAGTGGGGGGTGTTGTTGCTGTTGGGGGGTTTTTTGTTTGTTTATTTCTTTAGGTTTTCTCCTCCAGGAGAAATACCACATTCTGTTTACAGATATTTTTTGTGTATTTGGCCAGACTCATCCCTTCTATAAATCTTTTGCTCTGAATAGGATCAGGGCAGGAATTTTAGTCAGCTTCTAGTGGTATTTGTTTTGTGAATCCTGGCTTTTAGATCAAGGTTAACAGATATCCAAATGGGCGGCCCTTCTCTGAGTTTATTTTTTTAATTGCTCATTTAAACTCATATTTAAATGTGTAATTTTTTAAAGTTCTATTTGTTTTTTATCTTAAATAATATAGCCATTGAAAACTAAAATTACCACAACACAGTTAATTTGCTATTTTATTCATGTGAGGACACTGATATTTCAGGGGTCTTGAAACAGATAGCAAGACCTAGAGCCTGGAACTAGCAACTGAATTTGCATTATCTGAACTGTTGTTTTAACTGGAGATTCCACTTCCCTCATGAACTTAACTGGGAAGGTAAAAAAGACACATACAATATGTTAATTTTATTGCTTTTTGCCTTGAAAGGTGCTGAGCCTGTTGGGAAAAGCACCTGACAGAGGTGCTAGCTGGGCCATGGGAACAGCACTACTGTGGTAAGTGTCCTTGCCTTTATCACAACAGGGGGAAGATGATCAGTAACTCCCTGAACAGATGGCATGTTTTACAGGTGTTTGATTTGCTGTGACAATCAAGGACACAATTCCCAAACGAAGAAAGCTCCTTGATGGGAGAGGGTTGCCAGGTACAGAGAGAATGCCTTGCACTACCTTGTTCCATTTATCAGCCCATAGGGGATGGGTATGCAGGAGATATTGCCAACCATACTTCCTGCAGGATTATCCTCATCTCAGTCTCCTTTTTTTTTGCAAATATGAACTCTTAACTACTTAAGACCAACAATTTATTTTGCCACTATAATTGACATTATTAAATTCACAATTAATCTGTCAGTGAGCTATGCTTACAGATGCCTTAGTGAAACCTAAACAAAACTGATTCATACAGAAATTAGGTATTCTTGCCTAGAAAAAGCACCAAAAAGATAAAACGTTTAAAATCTGCTTTCTGATAATGAATCTTGTAAAGCTGTGAGGCAAAACATTTTGGTGTTTTACTGCTTCTGTGTCATTTTAATGAATTAAGGGGTTATTTTCTTCCCCCAAAATACTACAGTCTTATTAATTTAAGTTTAGATCACTCTTAAGCAGGACCCAAAATTTTCTAGTACATTGATGATATCTCACTTTGCAAATTACTTCAAAGAAGAAAATATATTTTAGCAATTTAATATGTGTCTAAGATAAATTTTCCAAACCAACACAGTGTGTTTCCCTGTATATTTTCACAGTGGTTTATTTAACATTTCATCTTCTGCATTCCATGTACTCAAGTTCTAGGCTGCTCTTTCTGTATATAACTTACATTTCATTGCCAGGATGGCATAGCAATTTTCTATAACTAAAGAACTTCAAGTATTTTTATTCTCCCACTCTTTCCTCCTAACTGTTTTTCAAAATTGATATTATAGTACAGCTTTCCTTTAATCTGTCTCCACACTTATTTGAATTATTTTGGGAGGAAGAGATTCTATTAAATGCTACCAGAGATGTTTCTACTTTTACTTTTTTGTCACTAAAATCTGAAGCATGAGAATTTGATTCAGCAAAGACCATATATGCATTTTCACAATTAAAAACCTTTTTTCATAAAAGAAAGGATATATGTTAGCTGGCCTTAGTAGTTTCACATGTAATTAAATCCTGACTTGTTTTAAAACTAAATGAATCAGCTTTATAAAAATCCATTTCTCATTCATTGTTATACCATGCCATTTATCCTGCTACTGACCAAATTGAGTTTGAAGGGACAGTTCACTCTAGTGAATAATTGTGCATGTGTCTGTAGTATCAAGCTCTTGACAAATTTTCATTTTATTAATAAAATGCTTTCCATTTCTTTGCAGGTACAATGTCGTGTCTGTCATGCTACTCATATAAGTAGAGATTAAAAGAAATTTTTTGAAATGTTTGGCTGCTTTACTCAGGGCAATACTACCTGTTTTCAGCTAATATACTCTTCGCAAGATGAACCATGTAATTTTACAGATTACATTGCTAAAATTTACAAAACATTTTTGGCGGTTTCTATGGCACTGAGTGTAATTCGGAAAAAGTAAACAAAAGTTTCTCTCTTCGAGGTATTTAAGAGGTAATGTATCTTTAAGTGTCTCCGCCTCTGAATCCACCCACTTCTTGATAGCTGCAGCAGTCTTGTTGACTCACAGAAGCCGTGTTCATGCAAGAGCCAGCGATGAGCAGTAATTTTCAGAGATTTTAACAGCACACCTCCTGCTATGTATTTCACATTCTAGCTTGCTGGGGCTGAAGCTATATGAAAGAAAGTTTTATGTTTTGAAGAGATTGCAAAAGATAGTTCCTCCTCTCATCCTGGAAAATCCTGACAGACCAGTTGGATACCTTTAAGGCCTTAACCAAGAACTTTATCTTCTCATCCCACTGTCTTTTTTACAGTAGAAAGACCCAAGACACCCTTAAGAACTGAGAATCTGACTAATTTAAACAGATGGCTAATCCCAGTGCTGTGTGCAATGGACATCTACATCACCATCATCATCAGAAACAGAATAACCTCTTAAAAAGTGGAATATCTAAGAAAAATGGAATCACTAAAGGAACAAAGGTAAGGTTTCATTGTTTATCCTAATTGCCTCAATACTGCAAACAAATAGGTAGTTGCAACATTACTTATTAAGCTATTTTTATGGTCTTCCTAATGTCCATTGAACACCTTGTACGGATTAGGCTTGTGTGTTAATTTGTAATCGTGAGACCTAATGCTGCTTTTGGCTCTCCTAAACTGCAGAGAGAGTTGGGAATGCTCATGCAAATGCTGTTGATCCCATGGACTGACTTAGCACCTAGTTCATATCAAACACAACAAACACAAGTAGTAACTTCCTTCTAAAGCTTAACCGGTGGTGGACTTGACTTTGCAATGTAGTAATCACTAGTGGAAAGCTGTTTTGTCAGCTTCAAGTGTGTAGAGTTTTAAAGTGTGATTTGTTGCTGTTCAAGTATAACAACAAAAATATGTAGGCAGGCAAAGCTGCCTTTTCATGTTTATATTTATGCAGGGATGGCATAGCTGATCCCCGCACTGATGCCTGCTATCCAGCCTTGTGCTGCTTAAAATCCAAGTCAGTTTATTTTCTATTTTCTTAGGTTGTTCTCTTTGAAGCAGCACTTCTCACATACATGAATATTTTGTAGAGCTGTTGGCACTTAACATCCTGAAGAATGAACAAATCTAAAAGTATATTTTTATCAGAAGAGCCCAAATCTTAAAGGTTGTCTCTCTGTAATACCTGTTCTGACTGGGAGCTTACTGTCTGTCTTGGAACTTCCTAATTCTGGATCTTGATGTGATCATTAGGAGAAAGTCTTGTTGTGACTGTAAGAAGGCTGGCTTTACAGCACGGTGTGGTAGTGGCAGGGGGGATGGAGAAGGTTGCTGGTGGAGCCTGTGCTCTCACCTAATCATCCCTGTTGGAGCTTTAGATAAGGACTGCGGTGAGGGCTCTGCTGTTTTACAAATAAACTGCTATCTTTTATCTTTCTCTAAATGGGGCGCTCACACACCTTAGCACTGTAATGAGGGCACGCCCAGTGTAGTGCTCAATGGTTGTCTGGCTTTAGGTGTCTCTCCTGATATGAGTATTTCCCAATCACTGACTTGTGCTGGCTGAGGAAAGCAAAAAATCTTGCACAATGATTGAAAAAAGCCTTTCTTGGTTTTGCTTCCAAAAACCTAATTCAATATCCTCTTATATATCACGTACACCTCCTTGTCATTTTGTACATTAGCTGTTTGCCACAATGGTGTCCTAAGTCTTTGCTTTCCACTTGTGACAGATTTCAAGGACAAAGCTTTTCCATTCAGTTACTGTTAACCTGCTGCAAATGAGTGATTTTGAAATCCCAGGAGGGCATGAATTAGGATTTCCTCCTTACTGAAAAAGAGAAGTAAACAGCTAGAGAAGTAATGACTAATATTACCGAGCATGAGCAAAAAAAAAAAAAAAATAGAAATAAATATTGTCCTGAAAGGGGTGGCAAAGAAATGAAGGAAATATTATTAGATATACCTTGAAGATGAGTGGTCTCACAAGCACCACATGGTCAGAGGAGAAAGTGTTTTGCCCTGCTGTGTGACATCTGACAGTAGGACTGAGCCAGTTGTAAATGCCATCCATGGCTGAGGGAAGTGAAGACTTAGAAAATTCAGGAGGCTTATCAAAGGTGGATTTGCTAAGTCTGGGTCTAGCACTGTGCTCCAAATTACATACCATTTCCCCTTTCTTCAAGCTCCAAACACAGAAAGAAGGAAACAATAACACAAGAGTCCTGAATGAACCAGGAATCTCATTCCTGGCAGGAATCTCCCCATTCCTGTCTGGTCTGTTTCCCCGCCCCAGCTGCCTCACCCTGTTCAGTGCTTATGCTTGATGCTATTTTACGGGAACAGATACTGTTCCTTCCTCCCTGCTCTGTTCAGGAGCCTCACTGCTGGAGGTGTGCACAGTCCTCCGTACGTGCGCTTGTATTGGCCACTCCTCGCTGGGGTGTGCTTCCCACTTTCCAAGCTGGGAAATCACCAGGGAATATGGCAGCTTGGTGCACAATGGAAGGCTGTACAAGGCTTCCAAGTTTCTCTTAATTCCAGTCATTCTTCCTTCTTCTTTTGCTCTTCAGCCACCTTGCCCGTGTTATAGATAAAAATTGATCCAGCTAAATTAAAAATGAGGAATAGAAATTTTATTGTAGCGATTGAATTCTCTCTGAGCCAGCCACATGGAAAAGGACAGTGCCGAGCCCGGGATCGGCGCTGGGTGTGTCACAGAGTGGACAGCCTCAGCAGAGGTTCCCCCTGTACCCACACACCACCCCTGGAACAAGCGGGTTTTATAGGGAATATTCCGCCAGAGGCCGGGATTTCGGTGATCAGCCTTTTCTTTCCATTGAAATTCCCACATATTGATAAAGTCTCTTTTCTCTGTATTGGGGTGGAACAATTCGGTGTCTGGTGGTGATGAATGTCCCTGATGGAGTTACTGGAAGACCGCATTCAGGTGTATCAGCCTGGATCAACGCCTGGGCGTTCCTGTATCACCTCGAGAAATGACCCATCTCCGGGCCAGCCACATGTATTAGTTTGCAAATGAGGTTTTGGCAGAGACTGGTTTTCGAATATGTGGGGGCAACTCCCAATGCCGATGTATGTACTTCCAACAATATCAAATATTACATACATCGTATTACACCAGAGCGAATTATATTCATTACACATAACACCCCTGTTTTCCCTAACACTCTGACACACACTTTTATGTGCTTTACTGCCCAGGCAGTAAATTAATTGACCATTAAACACCTTATATAACAGAAATATAGTGCTAGTATATTCAAGGGATGTGACTGGTGATGCTGTTTTTAGACTTGTGATAGTTCCAAAACTTTTTGGCTTAGTTACAGCTGTACTACTTTTCAAGGAGTGGGGAGGGAGAGATGCTGTGGGTGGAGAGAGGCAGGTAGTGCAGAGACTGCAATGAGTGAATGGCACAGTAAAGTCTTCTAAGGCCTATAGCAGTCGTTTTTCACAATTGTCTGACTAGAACATCAGACTTTGCAGAAATCAGCTCTATAAACCCTTTTTTTTCCCCAAGGGAGCCCCCAGAAACCACTGGCTTCAGGAAATTCTGGCTTTGGAAACACTGTTTTTGAAAAACACTTGCTCAAGAACAGTGTGTTTTGCATCTTAATGATGTAAGAACATTTTATGTGTCTGTGCATGCTTAACAGAAATAGAGAAGAAATTTTGATACCACAAAACCCCTTGGGTTTCTAAAGAAAAAGTTTTGTTTAATGGATTGGGAAAGGTGATTAGGGATTATCAAATGTGGGGGAGCAGGGAGGCTTTCTTTGCTTCTAGTATTCTGTGGCATACCAGGGACAGAAAGGAGGTAGCTTGAGTTATAAAGAATCAGTTAAGCATCCTACCAGAAGATAAGTGTTTGCTTTTGGGGAAGTGCTAGAGTGCTTTGGGGTGGAACTGCTTGTTCAGATAGCTTCTGTGATTATTTTAAGTCAGATTCACTCAATTCTCACTGATAGCACAGACTCTCCATGTACTAATGGACATCAGGTTTAACCATGTCCCCACAGCCATGCTGCATCCCGGTATTCTTTGGAAGCTGGGTCAGAGTAAGACCTGAACTTTGGGAGGTGGGCTGTGGATCACATCTTCCACTTTGTTAGTGCTTTTAACAGAGGCAGATGCTTTGTGTTCTTCCAGAATCCATAGTCTGGACTTGCCTTTGCCCAAAGCACAATTCAGTAGCTAACCTATTTATTTATGTAACTGTATTGGCCAGGAGAAGGTATTTTCCTAGTGATGGTTTCTTTGCTGTTAAATTGCTATATTGCTGTTGATTGAGTATCAATAATAGGGGACATTGGATTTTTAAAACAATAAATATGGTTTTCTAGTGGAAATTTTTTTCCCTATAAAACACATGCACCAGTTCCATTTCTTTGATAGATTACTTCCTTGGATGCCTTAGCCTCCAAGACATTATAAAGCTATTTGTAAACTCATTATTTTTATGTTCTGCACTAAGAATGGCAGGGCTTGGAAGAAATGTGTAGTCAACAAGACTGTAGGCTTTCCCAAGGATTTCAAGCTCCTGTGTGAAACCAATAAAGAACCTGGGATGAGATCCAGCACAGTAACATCTGCCCCACTTATCTGATGGCCCAAAAATTCTGTAGTCTACAACACTTGGAGGCTCCAAAATTCAGAAGCTGTTTATGTTTAACTTCTGTCCTGTTACATCTGAATTTCCTCCTAGCTGTTCTACTTAGCTTTTGGTTCAATATTCCAGCATCCAGTCTCAGTCCCTTCCCTGCTCTTGGTACCCTAGTTTCTTTCCTCTCTTTTTTTGCTTTCCAATGTCACTTATTACCTAATGACAATCTTAAAGAAAACATTGATTGTTTAGAAATAGAGTCACGAAAGGAATATGCCATGCAACTGTTCTCATGGCAGTAACTTTCTTGTATGTTGTAAAGGCCTCCTGTAATTTCTTTGCTCTCTTTTCACAAATGTGGACAGCACTTCAAGTATTTTTGCAAACCAGGTGTAAGTGGGTCATTTTAGATGCATACTCAATATAAATGTTAAAGATTCTGGTAGGAAAATAAATAAACTAATTCCCACAATCAGAGTCAAGCAATAAGGGTTATTATTAATAAGGGACGAGCAAGGGGAGAGGGTTAAGGCTGGTCAGGCCTTTCCAGCTGCTTGCATGATCTACCAACATAATAGGATTTTTTTTCTGAAATATCTTCATATTTTGATATTGGTTTGGATAAAAACAAATTGAAAGAAAACTTCATTGAGTCCAGCCTGTTTCACTTGCAGCAGCTCAGGATTTTGGGCATTTTTCATTGTGCATGTGTTCATGGAAAGTGCAATTGCAGTTTTCACTCAGGAAAAAGTTGAGATTTGGTTTTCAGTCAAATTCTCTGCCAATTGCTCTACCTGTTGCTTCAGCTGCACCACAGATAAGACCTCCTCATCCTCAGTTCCTGGCTTCTTTTCTCCTTGGTTTCAAGCCTGAG